CCTTGGTGAATAGCGACTGCAGGCAGTTAGCTCGCTCCTGCCAATTCGCCGTTGTCTACTTCGATTACAGCCCAAATTCAAGGCTCTTGTTGCGCCAGCTCATGAAGGAGGCGATCGCCAGGCTTGGCCACGATGATCCAAGCAACGCCACCCGGCCGCCGTTTATTGGATCTTGCATTCGCAGAGTTGTGGTCGAGCCCCGCTCAGACTGGGTCGCTCAGGCGCATAGCGATCTCTACAATTCCATTTGGGGGGACGCAGCCAACCGTCTCAATTCGGAGCATCGCAACGCATTGTCCAAAAAAGCGACTGATCAGTACATTGCGATTTACCACGATCCCGTCCAGATCGCTATGAAATTGGCAATGCCCCACCTAGAGGCGCTGTTGTGGCATGATGGACTGTGTCTCGATGGCGCCTTCTTTGGGACTGTTACAAACCTGCCTATTCGGCACCTTAAGCTGGCCGGAGCTCATATTGGAGAGATGTACCGCCTCGAGCCGCCACTCGCGCCGCTTGTCGTGTCATTGGAGTCGCTCTCTCTAAAAGTAGACCTCTGCACCAACGAACGGTTTCATAGGAGCGAGACAGACAGCGATGGCGATGCCGCTGGCTGGAAGAACAGAAGCTTGTCACCCTTCATACAAACCCTTCTACAGCGCTGTAGCACGACTCTCAGGCGTCTGACCTTGAGCTACGCGGCTTTTACGGGAGATAGGTTACTTTCATTCGATGAAGACGTGTTCTTCCCCCATCTTCGGTACCTCGATATCTCCGGAAACATGAGCATTCCTGATGCACGAGTCTGGTCTTCGCTGTTTTCTGCACCGCTGAGACATCTCTCTCTGTCATTTACGCGTTTGCCGGCCGGCCAACCCCTTCGTGACCTTGAGACGCTTGCCATATCATATCTCGATGGCGGGAACATGGGAACGGTACAGTCGATAATCGACTTCATTTCACGTCACCCGCACGTTCGGAAACTCTCCATCGGGAGAAGCACGCCCCATCTCCTGGACTCGCATCTTATCCCACTACTCTCTGATGGAAGATGGTCGAACCTAAGCTCCCTTTCGCTAGCATGGAGCGAACCAGCGGCGGAAACACAACCAAACATGGCTACTATCTCGGCGGATTCCCTAGCTGCTGTTGGCAACATCGAATCGCTGGAGCAGCTATGCCTAAGTGCCGGCGAGCAATTTGGCTGGCGTCACCAGTGGTTGATCGACCATAATGCGGTGCGATTGTGTCTACAAGGACTGACAAGGCTCAAAAGGCTTGCGTTCTCACGAGATACGTACGTGCTTCCAGACGGCGCGTCCGGCCCCGGTGCGGAGGGGTATTACGAGTATCAGCGCGTGACATCGGCGGATCGGAACAGCGCCCTCGAACGACCGGAATTAGACAGGGGTGAAGATGCTGAGCATATGGCAGGAGGCGAGGGTAATAATGACGGCCCGGAGGCCGATAGCGCAGAGGTTTGGGAACGTGCGCATCGCAACCGCATGCTCCGAGAAGCAGAAAAGTATGCCGCCGTGTTCCCCCAACTAGAATGGATTTACTGCGGCCAGTGGCCCATGGAGATTCGAGCAAAACAGACGTCGAAGGACATAGTTCGTGTCGCTATGCCTTTGAGCATGGAAAGAGACTCCTGCTGGACATTCCTCGAGCAAATGTTCGCAATGAGGAGGGATGATGAGTAATTGTATTTCGTTATTAGTGGGCCTGATGGTTGATGGATTGGCATTGAAAGTTGAAAGGAGCCGAAACCGTACTTGAAAGGATTTTAGCTATGTTACGGGATTCCTCCGTTCTTGTCACCTTGCTCTTATAGTTATTTGTCTCATGTTGTCACGAACATGCCAACAAGTGGACCCCGGGAACGCGGGACGCCCGAGCCAGTCATTTAACGAATCAATTACAGGGTGCTCCAAGGAGCACCCGAGAGCCAAGAAGGGCGGCCAGTCAGAAGCTACTCTCGTTAGCTCTCGGGAGCCTCCAAGAGCCATGAGCTCTAGTAAGCTCTCAGGAGCTGCTTGGAGCTCAGAGAAGTAGATAGTATATAGTCACTCGTCCTGGAGAGCTCTGGAAGTTCTCCAGTTAGCAATCACAACTACAGTTCGCTACAAGCTCGAAAGCCTACCGTCGAGATGTGACGAACCTGTCTCTGGACCCGTCCTGTTAGGGTTCAGTATCGGTCGAAGGTAATCTTTCAAGGGTGCTTAGGTTCGGTGCAGCCAAAGGGTGCACAACAAAGACTTGTCTCAACAGTAGGCTTTCGAGCTGGTAGCGAACTGTAGTTGTGATTGCTAACTGGAGAACTCCCAGAGCTCTCCAGAACGAGTGACTATATACCTATCTAATTCTTGGGTGCTCAGTGTGCTCAGTCCGGGTTCGACAACTGAGCTCACTGATCACTTCTGAGTTACAATCGTCCTGATTGGTGACCTTGCCTGGTGCTCAGTGTGCTCAGTCCTGGCTTGGCAACTGAGCTCACTGATCACCATCGATCCTGTTCCTGCCTTCCGATTGGCTTATTCCATGACTGGCCCGGGGCGTCCCGCGCCCCGCGGTTCCGCCTGTTGGCATATTCGTGACACGAGACAAGTCTTGTTGTGCACCTTTTGGCTGCACCGAACCCTACTGCTGCAATGTTGCAACCAACGGAGCTGCGCGTGGGAAACCGAGACCCAGTGTTCCCTTTCCTCAGCGGTCGTTCGCGCAGTGATTGAGGTTGATTCCACAAGATGTATCGCGCCTTCTACATTGCGATGTTAGTCTAAGAAACGGATAAATAGGGGCAGTTAGCGGTACCGAATAGAGCCGCAGCTCGTCGAAGAGTGTCAAGACCCTTGCAGTATTTGGCGAGCGCCGTGACAAAGTCTCCTTTGTGCCTCTCAGAAGCTATTTCGGCGAGACGCTTGACCTCCCCAGGAGCCAAGCGTTGCAAGTCGACCAGCGTCGTATAAAGTGGCAGAGTGATTAGCTCATCAAATGGAATCTCCCTAGATTTGTACCGATTGGTAGCTAAGTAACGACAAGTCCGTTCGGGATGACGTCGCCCATCCTTTATGAACATTTCAAGGCCCGTTTTAGATGATGGCTCATTTTGCATGGTGGTCAATCTTGGATGATGATCGATTGTAGATAGTGGTCGATTCGAGATGGTGGCCGGTTTGGACGGGCGGATGGTTTTGGACGGATGTCAATTTTGGACGATGGTCCTTCCCCTCTCTTCTTTCCCCGCATGGCTGCATACGTGGCAGCCTAGCTACGGAAGACGATAGCCGCCACTGTTCCATAACCCATAATTCCCATAATTGCCAAGATTAGACTTACACCACAAATTCCCGGTACACCCCACAACACAGCTTTACATTGAATGTTTTAGTACATATTGGTCACATGATATATATATACCATACCTAATACCGTCTTTATCAATACTAAGCTTTACCTTTTAGCTAGTTAGATAGTTAATTCGCATTATAATTTATTAGTCTCTATGACGAGAAGCAGATATTCCATGGGGTCAGGCCACCAGTCAATACAACTATAATATCGAAACTAAGACAAAGAGAAAAAGAGAAAAAGAGAGGTGGTGGGATCGCTCGCGATCGTTTCGTAGGGAAGTCGGGCGAGGCGCCATGCGCGCTAACCCCGATTGAGCCACAGTGCCATCACAGGCAACCACCTCTCGTGACAACCCCCCCCTCCACGAAAAAGCTCGTCCGCGAGCTTTTGCTCGGAAAAGGTCCATCATTTCCATTTCCATTACTTTTTCTTCCTATTGGATCGCCTCAACGGCGCGCCCACCATGACTGGTTCGTTGTCATCCTTGTAATCCGCCGCGAACTCGTCGCGTTCGGCCATTTCCAACCATATTTGCAATCGTGTGGGCGGGCCAGACTTGTCGGGGTTCGCGTCATGGAACTGTTTCAACACTTCCGGCGAGTTCTTGAAGTCGGCCGCGGGATCAACCCCTGGAAGACTTCAGTGGGGAGTCATTTCGCATGGCGCGGACCCGATATCGCATCGGAAACAACATGGGCTTTGATGAGCTTGTTACCTATGATGCGGTTCGCGGTGACCAGACGGCCGTTACGTAGCGAGCAACCAGAAGTGTAAGTAGGTCTGCAAAAGCAGGGGTGCTTGAAGGACCAACCATCAACCGAACATAAGAAGAGACCGCCGGCTTGCTGGCGGCCACCTTCGAAAATGTTTCTGCGTTTAAACTCTCCTGTTTCAAACTCCGATAGCCGAGCTCCGCTACCGATTAAAGCAACGCCCGTTCAGGACTTGCGAAAGCATTTATAAATAAGGATACCTTACTTTAATCCAGTAAAAGATGCGGTAGAGAAAAACAAACCTAATACCTCCGGCTGTAATCGGGTGGGCAATTTAGACCCTCTATCGGTAGTTTCATAACCGTCATCACCGCATTCGGGTAACTTAACGATAAAACTCTCAACACCCCTCCTCTCCGAAATCTTAGAGCTACTACCAGGGTTTCAGCCCCTAACCAGAGAGCAATTCGGGCGGTACTTTACTGCTATTCCGCCGCGGAACTTACCCCGTAGCTATCGCGATAGGGCAATTAACAGCCTTTTCCATTTATATCGAAACGGACCCTACAATTTCCCGACAGAGTATTGCAGTAACTTGGCCACTGTGGTTAGATTAAGTCGACGATGGATGGAAGAAAACGCCCGCTAGGATGGGCGGGACCTTGTAGGACGAAATGCGTTTCTGCTTTCAGCAAATAATAGAGTGCAACCGTCGTTTATCGCAGCAAGGCCAACCTCGGTGCCGATCGTCCCGATATACTGTCGATACCCCCGAACCAGTCCCTGACCCAATGGACCGAAAAAATGCTGGAACATGTACGCGAAGTCTCCGACCGAAATCTTCGCAACGCCAACCTCAGTATCGAAATGCCGGGGGGATGCAGAAACCATAAAGCCATAAGACGAGACGCTTCGCAGCTGGTGGTTGGCATGAAGCCCTCAGGGGCGACCGTCATAAGCTGCCGTCTTTCCCATCAAAAACAAGCACTTTCTCTCGCAGACCAAGCACAAGACGGCGAATCAACAACAGCCGCCAAGTGGCAAGTGCCGGCAGTCGACGGGCTCCCGAGATATCCGGACGGCGCCGATTCGGTCATTTTGTGGATGGGCTGAGTGGAGCGAGGGCACTCCCTGTCCCCGGCGCCGCCTATCAAGCGCCGAGCCATGACTCGACCAGGCCCGCAACGCCAGGGACCGCCCCTCCCTTTGTCGTCGAGTCTCGCCGAGTGAGCTTGGAATCGTTTCATATCCTCAGCGGCGAGCGCCTCGTCAAATTCTCTCTTGATGGCGATGTCTTCTGATGATAATGGCGCCTCTTGATCGTCACCCGAGAACCGTGGGCCGGGCTCGTCGAAGTCGCGGCGAGGGGGCGCAGATACTGCGGCGCGACGGCCTCTAGTGGACGGCCGGCCCACTGGCATCCGACCAAGTCGAGGACGGCCACGCGGCCGACCACGGGATTGCGACGACGACGACCGAGGGCGGCGCGAGGGCACCGGCCCAGGTCGGGGGAGCTGTGGTTGGGAAGCCTGCGAATTGTCATCGTCGTCTTCCGCGGGGCTCTGCCTAGGCTGTGCAGACGGGGGGAGGCCATCCCCAACATCCGCCGGCTGTTCTTGACGGAACAAACCACTCATGGTGGGGGTCTGCGACGGCTGTTCACCGTGACGGCGCTGGACACGATGCTGTCGCTGGATGGCCGCAATCTGCCCACGAGCAGCCGCCATCTCCGGCGCATCTGTCTCGACACGTCCGCCTTGGTGGTACATACCGGCAAGCACCCGATGAGTAAGGTTCTGACGGGGCGCGAGATGAACCGGATTTGGCAATGTCGGGGGAGCGACCGGGCCACGGGGGATCGCGCTGGCGGCCGAGATACGCGTCGCTGATGCAATATCCTGTAAAGCTGAAGTCAGCAGAGGTAGAAGTGGCTAAATATGATGTTGATTAATACTGATTCCCTCTGGTGTCCTCTGCAATCCAGACACTTCGTAACAATCCTGCTACCCGCGCACAGCGAAGAACTGATCGAGAGGTTTCTCGACGCGACATTCACGGCACACCCGCTGCGCTGGCATAGCGCCCTCCATCACAGCAGCATATACCGTCCATAACGAGCGTATGTTGCGACCAGGAGGAAGGCAAAATAAGTGTTAATGAGGAAGAGTCGCGAAATATATGTTTTGATGAGTGCAGGATTTGTGGTCAACGCAAACAAACAATTGTTTGTCGTCGGCACCGACAGCTTGAGCTCGGGTCCAGCTTGCGCTCGGCTATCGCCGCATGCAACCGGCCTCGGCTAGATGTGGGGAGCTTTGCGGGCCCAACGCCGAATCCGGCATATAGTGGGCCTTATAAAGCCGCCAGCCAATTCCCGGACTCGGATAAGAGGGCTCCGCTAATTCTTATCAACTTTGCATAATAATTTCCAAAAGTTTAACCGTAATATTGTCCTCCGGACAGGAATATTATCCTCCGGACAGGATAATAATAAAAATGAGTTCAAGCTACAGTAGCTTCGCGATCGTTGTATACGGAGGATTGCGCGCCGACCAAAGGCAACCGACCGTAGCGCAAATGGAGAGTCAGAAAGTTGGAAGAAAAGAAGGATAGAGGGTGCGGATTGGGCGAACGCAAGAATAAAGTGGAGCCGGTTAACTTTTCTTCCGAAAACCACCACTTTTCGAAGCAAGGCCCCCCACCGAGCGAAGTCCCCTCAATGAAAACATGAGACTCGCAATGACCATGGCGCTTAATTGGTCGGTACGAGTGGATCCCATTCCTACACACTCTCGCAGCCATCTATTCCTCACACATCACTCCATCACATAACCAGGACCTCGCTCTCCCTCCATTCTCATCGCCATAGCCCACACTCGAGCCTAAACAGCGGCCTAAAGGGCGCTCCCATCACCGGCGTTAAATTATTAAGGTATTTATTCTTCGCAGCGCTAAAGAACGTCTTCTGCTAATGCTTGCAGGAAATCGACCCCAAGGCATCCAGCCGCGCAAAGGCAGTTCTCGAAAGTACGTAACCAGGCACACCGAATATAATCGCCTGTATCCAATTACACCGTCTCCACAAGTACGCCTTCCATCTCTCGTATTATATAGTTGAAGTTAACTTCGGATCTACAGGATCCGCCGGTACCTGTCCAGAGCAGAGGTCGCAAGCGTAAGTACTTAACCGGATATATAGCCGAAGTAGACCTAGACCCAGACCCAAACCCAGCTCTAAAGCGATAGTGGACATCTCCTCTACAACCTATAGAAGATATATTTAACAAGCCAGCGATTAGCAGTAGTACCTATCAATACATTAACCTAGTTACTTTCTAGGTAAAGGAAGGGTACTGGCTAGAGGAGTAGGCCTGGCCGGAGGAGACCTCAACAACAGATTTGTCACGGATTAGGCCCAACGCGGTCTTGGCCTGCGGGATGCGGGACGTCCCGGCCAATCATTTAAGGGTCCAACGGCCAATCGTTGCGACAAGTGAAAGCGCTCCCGACGCTCCCTCTCGAGGAAGGGAGCACGGGGAGCACTCGCCGCACTCACTGCTCACGACGCTCCCATCGCTCCTCGGGAGCATAGGGAGCAGAGGGATCAACACGTTAGATAGCAGTATATAGTCACTCGTTCTGGAGAGCTCTGGGAGTTCTCCAGTTAGCAATCACAACTACAGTTCGCTACAAGCTCGAGAGCCTACTGTTGAGACAAGTCTTTGTTGTGCACCCTTTGGCTGCACCGAACCTAAGCACCCTTGAGAGAATACCTTCGACCGATACTGAACCCTAACAGGACGGGTCCAGAGACAGGTTCGTCACAAGATTTTAGTATAGACCGTCTCCTTACGTAGAAGAGATCCTCGTCCAATCTATTCCAGAAGCGATCGAACTCTGCTATATCAACAACGCCTAGCGAGAGGAGGGAGGAGAAGAGCACACTTGTGACGAACCTGTCTCTGGACCCGTCCTGTTAGGGTTCAGTATCGGTCGAAGGTATTCTCTCAAGGGTGCTTAGGTTCGGTGCAGCCAAAGGGTGCACAACAAAGACTTGTCTCAACAGTAGGCTCTCGAGCTTGTAGCGAACTGTAGTTGTGATTGCTAACTGGAGAACTCCCAGAGCTCTCCAGAACGAGTGACTATATACTATCTAGTATCACCGTCCTCATGGTGATAATCCTCCGTTGTCACTGACAACTGGTGATAATCTTTCATTATCACTGACAGTCGGTGATAACCGTTCCTATTGGTTCTTTTAGCGATTGGCTGTCGGCGTCCTGCGCCTTCGGCTGTGGCCGCCCCGGGCCGCCCTCAGGTCGTTCCGTGACACGATGCCCCCCCTCTCATGTCTTTCGACCCGAAAGACGTTGGTTCTCCATTCCTAACGTTGGTTAATGATCCCTAACTACGGCGCTTCCCCCACTTATTGGTAACTTCTCCTTTCCATCCTCTTCCCTCAGTTCTTGATGCTGACAACATGTCCGTGGAGAAACGTCAATCCAAATCTGCGCGTTATCGTGCTTCCCTGGCCGAAAACATCGGAAAGAACGGTTTTGTCGTCATGCCTTGTTCTTGGTGCGCTTCCCAGAGCTTGACGTGCCGCATGCTTCCGAAAGTAAAACGCTGTAGTGCGTGCGTTCAACGCGGTCGATCGTGCGATGGCTCTGGTGTCCCCATCTCCCAACGTGAGTCTCCCCCTACCCGTCACGTCCCTGGCTCACTCCAACGTCCCCAGTGGATCGTATTATGCAGGAGCAGCGGCGGATCGAGCGCGAGGAGCGGGACACCGAGGAGTCCCTCGAGGCGACTCAGCGGAAATTGGAGGAAGACCAGCGAGCTCTTGCGGAACACCTGGCCCGTTTGCGTCGCCTGCGTCAACAGAAGAAATTCCTGGTGGACCGTGGTGTTGATATGGTGGCTCGTGGTTTGTCAACTCTGGATGACCTTGAAGCGGCCGAGAGACAAGAGTCTCTTGATGCGGCGGGGGCGCCTTTGGTTGAGGGCGATCTTAATTCCTCCGCCGACCCCTCCGCGGGGTTCGACTGGTCCCTGGGGAATCCCCTTGCTGGAATCGATTTCTCCGCGGAATTTCCCTTGGTCGATCCGGGTTCCTCTGGTGGAACTCCTGAAGTTTCTCGGGGCAGTTGAGATTTGTAGCTGGTTGCCATGAATTGTCTTCTGGACCAAAGTCCAGCCACTTGACCAAATACTCCAACTGTCCTTTCGTGATGCGTGAGTCTAGGACTTCCTCAACGTCCCATTCCTCCTCTTCATCTTCTGCCTCGGCGTCTTTGTCGAGTCGTGCGCCCTTGGGCGCTGGTTCCAGAAGTGAGATGTGGAAAACGTTGGTCCGTAGTCGCATTGTCGAGGGTAACGCGAGAGCGTAATTGTTCTCCGAAATCTTTTTGTCGATCTTGAACGGTCCGACTTTGCGAAAGTCGAGCTTCCTGCTTGGTCGCTTCGTGCGAAGATTTCGAGAAATGAGGTAGACTTTGCCCCCCTCCTCTAGGCGAGGTCCCTCGAGCCTGTTTCTGTCGTAGAACTTCTTCATCCGTGTTCGTACGAATTCGAGTTCTTCCTTGAGCATCGCGTGCAGCGAGCTCATTTTGTCGGCTTTGACTGCCGCTCTGGGCACCGAAACCTCGGGCCCTTGTCGCAAATCTGCTTCGTAGCCGAAATTCGCGAAGAATGGTGTGACCTTCGTGGTCTCCGTGACGGTGGTGTTGTAGGCGAGTTGTGCCGTTGGCAACAGCTCGACCCAATCATCCTGCTGGAAGTTGACGTACAACCGTAGGTATTGTTCAACGATCTGGTTGAGTCGTTCCGTCTGTCCGTCTGTCTGTGGGTGGTAAGCAGTTGAAAGCTTACTCTTCGTACCCAGTTTCGCCATCAGAGCTTGCCAAAACTTTGATGCGAACTTCGTGTCTCTGTCCGTGATCCACTCCTCCGGCCATCCGTGGACCGAGGTGATGTTGCGGTAGATCACATCTGCGAGTTGTTCTGCCGACCATGTTTCCTTGTAAGGGAGGAAGTAGCTCCACTTGGTGAGTCTGTCCACCATTGTGAGGATGCTGTCGTATTCCACTCCCGTTACCGAGTCCTTGGAGACTGGCAGTTTGGTGATGAAGTCCATCGTCACCGAACTCCATGGTCGTTCTGCGACTGGCAGTGGCTGCAATAGCCCGTACGGCTTGTGTCGTCCTGGTTTGCTTCGTTTGCAGAGGTCGCATTCCGCCAGGACCCCTTCTGCCGTCTGCTTGATTCCTGGGAAGTCGTAGTTCTGCTTGACTTTCGCAATTGTCTTGCCAATTCCCATGTGTCCTCCGAGTCTTGACTCGTGGATCTTTCGAATGAGCTCCTTTTGGTCACCAAGCCTGACGTAGGCCTTGTCGTGGTACCAGAGTCTCGTCCCTTCAAGTCGCAAACCCTGCGATCTTGGATTCTGGCTCTTCCTGCCATGCATCGCGCTTGTCGTCCGCGATGATTCCCTGGAAGTCTCGTTCCAGTCTCTGTTCTCTGAAGGCCGCACAGCATTCTACAAACGGTTGCAGAGGCCTGGCTTCGGGATCTTCCGACTGTTGCTGAAGTGCTGCGATCTCGTAGTCTTCAGTCGGTTGGGAAGCGTGCCGTAGCGATCCGTCTGTCTGTTGATGTAGCAATGGTGGTGAGGCTTCAGACGCGTTGTCGTGGTGATCCGTTCTCCTACTCAAGGCATCCGCTCGTGCGTTTTCTGAGCCTTTCTTGTAGTGGATCGTGAAGTTGAATTCGGACAGAAATTCTGCCCACCGAGTTTGTCGTCCGTTCAGCACCTTCGTGGTGGTGAAGTATCGTAAGTTCTTGTGGTCCGTGTACACCTGAACTTCGTGTGTCGTGCCGCTGAGGTATGGTCTCCATTCCTGGAATGCTTCAATGATTGCGAGAAGCTCCTTGTCGTGGATCGGGTAATTGAGCCTTGGTCCTTCGAGTTTCTTGGAGAAGAACGCAACTGGATGAAGCTTGCCG